GATGCCCTTCTCATTATTAACATACGAAATATTCAAACCTGTGAAGAATTTTGTGAGTTTATTTGAGCCATACTGTCAGCAAATGCTGGGAAGCAGAATCTCAGTGGATTGAGAATGCTCCGGAGAATGAGAATGGCAGTTTTCATCTTGTTTTATACATTGCAATCAAAAGAGGAAATATAAGTGTGTGTATCACATGAAATCAGAAAAGTGACAAAGCACAGTAGTAAGCAATTTTTTTCCTGAACCATTTGAGATTAAATGATGACATAGTAGAGTAGTTTCTAAGTCTTTCTCTTAATTTTCTTGTTTAAAAAATATTTTTATTGATTTTTTAGAGAGAGGAAGGGAGAGGGATGAGATATAGAAAAATTGATGAGAAATATCATCAATCGGCTGCCTCCCACATACCCTCTATGGGGGATCAAGCCTTCAACCCAGGCATGTCCCCTGACCAGGAATTGAACTGGTGACCTCTTGGTTCATGGGTTGATACTCAACCACTGAGCCACACCAGTGGGGTTTCTCTTCATTTTCCATAAGGATACTGTCTTTACCTCAAGCAGGTTGTGGTGTACTTTGCTGGCCACCTCCCACCTCCTCACAAATACCATCTCTTAATTCTTTTAGGCCCAATTCCCCACTTTGGGTCAGGTTATCAAGCTGATTCCCCTCCCTCCTGTCTCCCACCCATTCCACTTGAGCTTTCTTGTCTTCTTTACCTGCTTCTGGCCAGTCCTCTTATTTAGATTATTTGCCCCTGTGCCCCCTCCCTGGAACTCTGTGTCACCCCAGGCTAGGTAGCCCCACTAGGCAGATGTGCCCCCTATCCTGTTCGTGTTCTGCCAGCCCTTGCCTGGCTGTCATTCTGTGTCAGTGTAGTCCTCATCTTCCTCAGGCTGCAACAGCCTGTGACAGGCAGCTTTCCTGAGTATGCCCTTCTCATCTTGCTCAGGCTCCAACATATTGAGTCACTTCCTAAGTTTATGCTTTTCAAACCCCATTCTACTTCTAGCTTCCTATACTGGGCTGCACTCTCAGGCAGATGCCCTTCTCATTATTAACATACGAAATATTCAAACCTGTGAAGAATTTTGTGAGTTTATTTGAGCCATACTGTCAGCAAATGCTGGGAAGCAGAATCTCAGTGGATTGAGAATGCTCCGGAGAATGAGAATGGCAGTTTTCATCTTGTTTTATACATTGCAATCAAAAGAGGAAATATAAGTGTGTGTATCACATGAAATCTACTGGTGATAGATTAGGGAGGTGGGAGAAAGCAAGGCAAAGACACCTGAGATTGGATAAAAAGTAAAATGATAGACACATATTTCTTTTAGTTAGTGGGTATAGGATAGTTAACAGTCAGCAATTAACTCAATAACAATGGAGGGATTTGTGGATCTGTGGTCTCCACAGAGTTGTGCCTGTGCTTTGAGGGGTCTGAAAAATAGAAAATTACTTTGGTATTCCAACGATATGATATCAAAGATGCAAAAAGACAATGGTCAGGCTGAGTTAAGGTAATGATTGGACTTTTTCAGGGAAGATACCAGCCTAGGACATGACGACCCACCATAAACTGCTTTCTGGTTAAGAAGTTTTTCATTTCTAATCATGCTTTGTGGTTATTTTAGGTCTCTGAGTTTGCAGGGCCACCCCACAGTCCTTCCCGGAGCTAGTCAGGTCAGCATGTGGTCCCGTTTTGTTCACATCAACTTGGGTGAGCTCTGACCCCCACACAGGAAAGCCCTTCTATGTGAACACCTGAACACCCTTCTTACCTTACACATACACAGAAACTAACACTAGGCTACAAATCACCCCTCCCATTATTGTCCTTTCAGGTAGATACCTCATCATTTTCTTAGATTTCTGACATCCTGAACTAGGTAGGTCTCCTAGGGATGTCTTCCTAACCTGCTCATGCTCATTCTGCAGCAAGCTGTCCCTTCCCTTATTGCTTTCCTCCATTCCAGTGTGATTACCCTTCCTGCTTATCTTTAACACCCCAGGCTAACAAGCTTTCCTATGTAGATACTTCCTGCTTGGGCTCTATCTCCCCTTTGCAACAATGCCCTGGTAAATCTCCTCATTCACTTTCTTTCATGCCTGGCTTGCCCCCTTGGGTGGATATCATCCTCACCCATCTAGGGCTTTGACATCATGTTTCTTTTCTGAATGGATATGCTTCTCACTAAGTTCAGGGTTCTTCCACCTTGCTGACCACTGCAACTCTTCCCCTCTGCTCTTACTGTGTGCACCAACCTTGCTTAGTCATACCTTGCAGCTTTATGAACTTTTAAGAAGAGAGAGGGAATAGCAAGAAGAAAGCAGCTTTCTTTTGTTGATTTGAAAACTTTATTGAGATATAATTTACATATATTCATTTCACTTATTTAAAGTATATAATCCAGGAAACTGAGATGGCAGCATAGGCCTGTACTCGCTGCCTCCCACAACCACGTCAAAATTACAACTGAAATACAGAACAACCATCATTGAGAACTGCCTGAAAGCTGGCTGAATGAAAGTCCTACAACTAGAGAAGTAGAGAAGAAAGCACATTGAGACTGGTAGGAGGGACAGAGGCGCAGAACAGGCTGGTCTGACACCCATGTGTGCTGGTTTTTTTTCTTTAATATATATATTTTAAATATATATCATTTAAAAAATATATCTTTTTAAATATATTGATTTAAGAGAGGAAGGGAGAGGGAAAGAGAGATAAAGACATCAATGATGAGAGAGAATCATTGATTAGCTGCCTCCTGCATGCCCCCTACAGGGGATTGAGCCAGCAACTAAGTCATGTGCCCTTGACCGGAATTGAACTGGAACCCTTCAGTCTGCAGGCTGACGCTCTATCCACTGTGCCAAACCAGCTAAGGCTGTGCTGTGTTTTTTTTTTTTAAATCAGGAGGGAGATTGTCTCTGCAGAGTCCGCCTGTGAGGGACAAGGGATCCCAGCCCCACAACAGACCTCCAGCCCAGGGTTCCAGAGCTGAGAATAGAAATCCCCATAGTGCCCTAGCTAGTTTGGCTCAATGGATAGAGCGTCGGCCTGCGGACTGAAGGGTCCCAGGTTTGATTCCAGTCAAGGGCACATGCCTGGGTTGTGGGCTTGATCTCCAGTAGGGGGCATGCAGGAGGCAACCAATCGATGATTCTCTCTCATTATTGATGTTTCTGTCTCTCGCTCCCTCTCCCTTCCTCTCTGAAATCATTAAAAATAAATAAATAAATAGAAATCCCCATAGCTACAGGCTGTAAAAATCAGTGGGGATTGTGGCTGAGAGACACGGAGGCTGCTGGAGACCCAGCTGTTCCTTTTAAAGGGCCTGTGCCCTAACATACTCAGACTTGATACCTCTGAGCTCCAGCACCAGGCAACTCTGGGGAACCCTGACACATATGGGGAGGAACTGGACCATCTGGCATCAGGGTATGAACTCAGGGATGCTTTTCTCCCAGATAGGGCTGCTCACTAAGGTAATTGTTCCTATGCTGGGACTTCCCCTGTCCGGGCTGACTAGCAGCTAGCTATATCTGAGACTCAATCAGCCTGGAGCATACTGTTTGCTCCACCCTGGGGTATTCCCTGAGACCCCTCCACATACAATTTTGCAGGTCGACCCAAGCTATTTGCAGCAGCTTTTCCATATGAGTGGCCTGTCCTGGCTCAGGCTTTAGAATTTGTTAAAATCTCTCAAACAAGCTGAAGCTGTTGACAGCGTGCCCCTACCCCAGCCGTGGGCAAACTACAGCCCGCGGGCCGGATCCAGCCCGTTTGAAATGAATAAAACTAAAAAAAAAAAAGACCGTACCCTTTTATGTAATGATGTTTACTTTGAATTTATATTAGTTCACACAAATACTCCATCCATGCTTTTGTTCCGGCCCTCCGGTCCAGTTTAAGAACCCATTGTGGCCCTCGAGTCAAAAAGTTTGCCCACCCCTGCCCTAACCTATCAAAAAAAGGCCCAAGACCCGGCACTAGCACCAGCCTGCCTTGCCTCACATCTGGACCTAGCCTTTTGCCCAGCATCTCTCCCACTGTAGTCACACCTGGTCCTCACAGCCAATTTGCCTGGAGGTCAACTCCTCCCAGTGACACCAACAGCAATCAAGGCTCAACTACAAGAACTGTGCAAACATCCCACACAAGGGCATACCTAGAGTGCCCAGATCAGGTGACTGGGGAGGCTTAGCCACTGGGCCCTACAGGACATCTATTAAACAAGGCCACTCTACCAATTCCAGGAAACATTGCAGCTCTACCTAATGCATAGAAACAAAGACAGGGAAGCAGCCAAAATGTGGAGACAAAGAAACATGTCACAAATGAAAGATAAGGAAGCAAGCAAATTACTGGATACAGAGTTTAAAACCATGGTTATAAGGTTACTCAAGGATATTGATGTGACTTTCAAAGATCTTAGTGAGAATGTCAAAGACATGAAAAAGGACCAATCAGAAATTAAGCATACACTAACTGAAATAAAGAATAATTTACAGGGATTCAACAGTAGAGGATTCTGAGAATCAAATCAATAACTTTGAATATGAAGAAGCAAACAAACACCCAATAAGAGCAAAAAGAAAAAAGAATCCAAAAATATGAAGAAAGTAAAAGGAGCTGATGGGACAACTTTAAGCATACCATCATTCACACTATGGGGCTGCCAGAAGGAGAAGAGAGATAGCAAGATATTGAAAAATTGTTTGGATAAATAATCACAGAAAACTTCCCCTACCTGGTGAAAGAAATAGACTTACAGGTCCAGGAAGCACAGAGTCCCAAACAAGTGGAACCCAAAGAGGCCTATACCAAGACACATCGCAATTAAAATGCCAAAGCTTAAAGAGAAAGAGTGAATCTTAAAAGCAGCAAGAGAAAAGCAATTAGTTATCAACCAGGAGTGCCCATCTGACTGTCAGCTTATTTCTTAGCAACAACTTTTCAGGCCATAGGGAGTGGAAAGAAATATTCAAAATAATGAATAGTTCTCGTGCTGCACACATCCTCGAGATCTACGAACCCGCCGCCACCTCCGCTGCCGTCCCAGCCGATCCAGTCTCACCATGTCTTCGCCTCCCGAGGAGAAGCAAGAGACGAAAACTGGACACCCGCCCGCTGTGGAAGCTGGTGGAATGCGAATCGTGCAGAAACACCCACATTTTGGAGACACCAAAGAAGAGAAAGACAAGGATGAGGAGGAGTGGGAGACCGAGCCCAGCCCGCCTAAACCCACCGTGTACATCTCCGGTGTCATCGCCCTGGGCGACAAGGACTCCCCCCCACCCCTGGCGGCCGCCCAGGTGGCTCACCAGAAGCCCCACGCCTCCATGGACAAGTACCCATCCCATAGAACCCAGCACATCCAGCAGCCTCGCAAGTGACCGCGAGGAACGCCCTCCCCTGCTGTGCCTGGTTCCCACATTTGGTATTTCCCCGGCAAAGAGAACTGCATTTTCTTCCAAACACTTTTCCAGTGGGAGATCTAAGGCAAAGCAACGCGCCCTTCCTTTGCCTTACATTTCCAAATCAAAGCTAGAAACAGACCCCAAACCTTGTTCCCAGGGAGTCCTGTTTGGTGAGGGGCCATTAGCAGAACCTGCCGAGTTCTGAGCAAAATGAAGTTGCTTAGAGTTTAGCTTTAGAACTATTTGAGCCATTGACTAAAAGTCCTGCCTGTGGTCTTAAAAACAAAGGGGCACAAATGTGGGAGGGTTGGATTGAGATTAGGAGGAAAGCTCAATCGTTTTATGCTTCTGAGTACTAGGACAATCAAATCTGCACACCTAAGGGAGCATAAGAACTGAGGGTGTTCATTACGGGGGTGGGTTTCAGAAAGACATCAAGGAAGACTTAAAACGGACCACAGCAACCCTGAATGTCACTCCCTGTGCGACCAGGGGTCCCTGTGCAGGGCGACCCCAGAAGGACCAAAGAAAAGTTTGCATCTCTGAGATGGCTCTGTTATTCCAGGAGTCATCTTGCTGAAAAATTAGAGGGCAGGTAGTTTGCCCAAAGGTAGTACCTCTGGGAGGAGATCTCAGTGTGGGTCCCAAGTCCATCACTGCCCCGCCATCAAGGCAGCCTGCGCCTGAGCAATCAAGACAAACTCGTGTTTGTAATCACTCACCTCTGGAGCTGTCTCTGAGTTCTGGATGTGGCCACTGGCCAGGCAGACGGATAGCCAATTCTGGACACACAGCAAGAGCACAGACTGCATGGGGAGAGAAGTGAACACAGAACAGACCGAACCTGCCCTTTGTCTCCCTGGGAACAAGAGACACCACATTCCATTAGAGCTAGAAAAGCCTGTGTGCCAGTGGGCCCAGCTGTCCAGATTTCCTTCTGCCTGTGCACGTTTGCTGGGCCCACCTTCACTTGGGCCCATCAGATGGCCCCG